AAACATTTCCCAGATCTCCTTAATAGCACTTTGAAAGATAACAAAAAAGTTTTTTATTTCAGTTATTTCGAATTGTAACTTGAAAATAATAGTGCAAGCCGTTATTACTTTTGAAAATTAGACATAAACTAGATAATGTTTTTATTAATTCAATGAATTATTTTAATAATTCAGAGAAAATTTATTCTGCCTTCATTTTTCATAACTTAATAAGTTTTAGAGTCAAAATTATTGGTACGAGAAATACCTAATGTGTCACTAAAACTTTGGTTCATAAGTCTTGCTTTTTCTGACTATACCGTAACGTGCTGATAAAATCATCTTACCATATACCATATCGTGCTAATATCATGCTTATAAAAATGTTTTATCGTAACCCATATATTTATGGGAAAAAATTTAACGTTATTGAAAATTGTGACTTGTTTTGCAAGCTCACGGAGAAAAAAATTCTGGTAAAATTATCGTACTGTATGATAATAACATTTATAGAAAAAAGGCCGTAATTTTGGTTATAAAACCAAAATAAACAGTATTTAAGCCATTCATTTAGTAAATTTTTGCGCTCACATGGTAACCATTTACTGAAAATTCTAGTTTTCAAAATTTTAGTTCGTATTACCACACATATAGTAAAAAAATGCAAAAATGAATAAAGAATTTTACAGAATAAATACTTTTCATGCCATGCTCTAAATTATTATCATAAAATTACAAAATTTTACCACATTTACCAAATAAATTTTATCACATACTATAAAACCATATTTTTTACCGAAATCATTAGTAAAGGGCTTTGACAAAAAATTGCCGAGCGTTTTGGTGTTCCATAGACCCAGAAATACTGTAAATTTTATCATATTCTGGCTGTTTTTCTCCATACTTTTTTTCTCAGTGCATGTATACAGGGTTGTCCATAAGAACAGGATTTAGTCTATATTTTTAGAATCCCTTCAAAAAATGAAATAAAAAAATAAGCATATCAGGGGTCGCAAAATAACATTAAAATGAAGAAATAGTAAAAAAAGTTATCGAAATCTTGCGATCCACTATTGAGTAAAGCTGGACTGAAAGCATCAATACCTGTTTGATTACAGGTGGAAACGGGGAAGAATTGAAATGTGATTATTCGAAACACGTCGTAGTTTAATGAAGCATTTAAATTGGTTTTGATCATTATATTCCGGCCTTTTCAACTAGAAATTCTACAGATTTTAATGACGTTTTTGTTTCTCACTCTCTAAAATAATTAAATTGGGTCATGATTAATATTTTATTTTATATTATTACCGGCGTTGGACGGCCGACCCGATTCCGAGGTTACGACTATAATTGTTCAACTCCATAGCCTTGTAATTTTTAACATAACCCAGAAGACAAGGAAACTCCTGCTTATAGCATTGGGAATAAAAAGCCTTCGTGGAGGACTTTTTGATGGAACTAACCCACATTTGCATTACATGCGTAAAAAACCATGAAAACCTCTCATGGTTATCCCGACCGCCAGAGGATTCTACCTCCTAAATCAGGGATGGGCAAACTTATCTGGTCGAGGGCCAAAAATCGAAGAAAAAAAATTTTGGCGGGCTAAATAAAAACATCTAAAATAAAATAAAAAGTACTATATGCGATTTTCAATGTAAGTATTTAATGAGATGAATGAAATTGCGATTTCATTTTTAAAAGTTCCTTATATTGAGGTTCCAAGTGAGATGTACTTATTTTAAGGAACAAGGGTAAATGTTTGTCTGTTATTCTACTTCTGAAATGATTTTTTATCAGGTTCGTAGATGAAAACACTTGTTCACACATAAATAAAAGGAAGCAAGCATAGCCCTGATTTTCTAGGTATGAAATATTTGGGAAACTAGCTTTTAGTAATGATTTGTAAAACTCAAATTTTGGCATATTCAGAAACAATTGCTTCAGATGGCACCAATCTACGGCTATTCTATAAAGAACTTCTGCTTTCAACATTTTACCAATTGAAGCTGTCTGTGCTAGCTACTTCCATCAATTTATGTTTTGTAGAACAAAAATAGAGAAAGTTAAAAGGTCCGCAGTACTTAGATAAAAAAGAAAGAAAAATAACTTTAAACAAAGTAGACAAGAAAATGGATGTATGTTGTTTATATTCGCCAAAGATCAGCAAGTTAAAATTCTATCCGCGGGCCTGATAAAATCTTCCGGCGGGCCATAGTTGCCCCGCTGGCCGTAGTTTCCCCATCCCTGTCCTAAATCATCAACCACTGAGGATACTTTTCATCAGCACTGTTGTCGGTGAATGGGATCAGAATTCTTACCAAACAGCCATCTCTGGGATTTGAACTTAGGTTACCTCATTGGGAGGCGATCGCTCTATCTCCTGAGCCAATGCAGCTCTCTTTAATATTTTATTTTATTTTATATCCGTCGTTGGACAGCCGACCCAATTTTCGGCTTACGACTACTGATGTTCAACTCCGTAGCCTTGTAATTTTGAGCCAATCCAAAAGACAAAGGAACTCCTGGATCAGTATCCCCAGAGGTATTGATTTGTTATGGGAACATGGAGGACTTTGCGACTCGACAGAGTTAACGCGCATCAGTCACCATTTACTACACGGGGAGTCTTCGACCGGCGGGGATCGAATCCACGATCTCTTGGACATGGGCTCAGTGCCCTACAAGCCTGGCTACTCTTTATTTATACTTTATTTCATTTTATTTTATATTATAATCGTCGTTGAACAGCTGACCCAATTTTCTTTATTTATATTGTACTTTATCACTTCATTAAATATTAATGAGTGCACTTTTTTTTACTTCATTTTTGGGACGAATTCAAAAAATGTATTACGGAGCGGCTTGTATAAAATATAAAACTCGGAATTTCAAAGCAAAATAACTGACAAATCGAACATAATAATCAAATCATTAAGTAAGTATATCTTGAGCTAGTTCAATTATTAACTGCATTCTCAATTTTCTCTCTTAATAAGAATAACCCAAAAGCATGTTACAATATACAAGAATATTGCATTTTATCACGCAAAGATATTTTTTTTGTAAGCAACAGGAGACATTGCCATTGAAAACAATGTAGAGGGGCACAATAAATGGTCCATCGTATAATCGCTTTCTCAAACAATAATATTCCATTAACGACAAGATAAATCCTCGGGAAATTTATTTATGTTTTTTCGATACATTTTGGGATAGGAGAGACCGAAGCTAACAGTTAGAAAAAAAACTCTTTGTAATTTTTTATCAACTTAGGTAAATTCTTATTAATATTATTCTCGATAATTATATTACTCCTGAGAAATAAAAATTTGAAAATGCTATTTTTTTTCCATATAGAGGAGATGTAACTAAGTATTTTGTCATTTAGAACTGCATAGTTTTATTGCAATATGGAAAAATTTACTGTGTTTCAGCCTCGATGGGAATACCAAAAAGCTTGGTAGTTATCACCAAAAGGATTTTGAAAGGATCTTTAGTAAAATTAACAATAAAATATAATTAGGTAATGAAATTTGATAATTTTAGCATGATACACTAGAGCATGTCATAAAAACCGTTTATTTTGCTTATTATTTGCAGTTGATGTTCTTTTACTAAGTGTGTAGTAATAAGAACTATAATTTTAAAAACCAGGAGTCCAGATAAACGGTTACCATATGAACAGAGAAATTACCTAATGAATAGTTTAAGTACAGTATATTTTGGTTCTATTAACTAATAATATGTTTCGTTTTGTTCATTTCTTTTTCAGAAAATTCATTTCCATACAGTAGGTTATTTTTCCACAGTTTTTTTCTCCACGTATTACTAAAGTTTGTAGTGTTTAGGATAAAGCAATATCATAACCATCTTCTTGAAAAAAATTTACCTTATTAAAAAGTGGTACATATATTGGGCATCATGTGTTTATATATGCATAAGTAAAATCAGTAGCTCTCAATCAGTAATATGCATATCTTTTGCAGTATATGGAAAGATTACCAACAATTACCAGATTGCCAACAAAGACCAGACATTTTTTAAAAAAAATTTAAACCAAGATAAAAGTGAGTGTTGAAACGAGCTTAATTTTTCATCGGTTCAAATTATATAAAGTCAATCTCATTAATTGCGAGCCCCAAATTAGTGAGAACCTGAATGAAAGGAGCAAACTAAAAAAAAATGATTTGTTTAGTGTTAAAAAAACTTAGATGAATCCTTTTTAAGAGCATTACTTCGAATTAACGTCAAAGACTTTTATAAACTGTGTGAAAATTATTTCATTTTTCAAGACGCCAATATGAAATTATCAGAGAAAAAAAGACTGTACGTAGTTATTTTATCCATCAAAGCTGTTTATAAATACAATTTCAGTTCATTTTGTCCAAAATTATTATGTAGGTGTGCTTAATCTAGAAAACAATGCAAGATGCCTCACCTATATTTTCATGAATCACAGAACTAGTTAAAGACATCAGTCAAACGCGCAATGAGAAGGCGTTGCTAGCAAACCATTGAAAAGATTCTATGAATGATAATAAAATGCATAATGGGAATGGTGCATAATGAAAATGGAGCAAATGGTAATGGTGAATAAATGGTAATTTTATTTACAGAACTTACACCTTCAATCCATAATAAAAACATATGAGTACTCTCAAATGGGATAATTAAACACTTTCAAAATGCCGAATATATCACTAACGTCTCAAATTAAAATTAAAACTAGAACTTTTTTTAAATTTCTCAACAGAAAGTGTTTACTCCAATTGAATTACTATTATTTTAAAGATGTCTTCATAACCCTTAAAATTAGCATAAAAGCAAATTTAATGAAAAATATGCATCACTGTGTCAATAAAAATGCTTATTGGAATGATGCGTATACGCACCTTTGGCCTAAAATGGCTTAAGTCTCCAAATAATATCTATTCCGTCATTGCAAATAGGTCATAAAACTTTTCTTTTAGCAAAAATTTTAAAATTTTTTCAATGCGTGAATAATTAAACAGTACCTTATTCGACCGCAGTGAGACTTTTCCACCACATCGAGCACAACATCGAACGTTGCAATAGTTACAAACATGCCCAATGCCGTCAGCGAATTTTGTTTTTAGGCAAATTTGACAAGTGGCATCAAGTTCGATTCCTTTCCGCCGCTGCTCCTCATTTCTCATTCGGATTGCCGTTTCCAGGATTCGCACCTCGTCCTGCTTCCGTCTAAAAAAAATACAAATATATATATAAATACAGTCCTTAACAGAGAACAATTTAATGAATTCAGTCAAAAGAGAAAAAAGTACTAAAATTTTATTTTATGGCCATAAATTTAATTTGCATGAAGCAAATGATCGATTGAAACAATCGATAAATTTCTTAAGTTGGGCTATTATGGAGAGCATGCATGCCGGTAACAGCAGTGACATTCTGGATGGATTTGACTCTATAATATATAAGAGAACCATCAAAATTTTTCGTCTTATATGTTTTTACTAATTTTTTACATATTCTAGCATCTACTCCTTATCTCTCACTTCCCCTAAATACTCCCAAAAAAAAATTATGATCCACAATTTGGCTAAAGTTGAATGAGGGGAGAAAGATCTCCATCTTGGAAAATTCGCAGTAAGACAATTAAAAATTACGTTTTATATTATTTGTTACTTATTTCTTATTATAAGAGGTGATTTATGAGTTAGTATACAATTTCAATGCGTTATATAGCAGGGAAAATATAAGATTTTTACAGAGTTCTATAACTGTATATAAGAGTTCCTTATATAATGCTTAAAGTTTTTTTCAGAGACTTATGAACTTTTACGGTCTTATTCTGAACTTTTTCACGAACCGTATTCATGAATTCAAGAGGAGTTGACTATAGTTTATTATCAATCTAGATTTTGTATTCTTAACTTTTCGAGCTTCGATCCTATAATAAACCGCTGTCGAAGAATCTCGGAAATTTCAAACCAAGTTAATTTGATCTAAGTACCAAATATCGTACATTTTTCAACATTCTTGAAAAATTGTAAGTAAAGGAAAAAGAGTTATATTTTATATAAGAAAAAGAGTTTTCGTAAATAAAAGTTTCACTAAATTTTACCTTTTTTACTATTTATATGATTATAAATTTACGTTATTTTTATTTATTAGTAAATAAATATTCTCCCGAAATTATTTTTCATAAAAGTTTAGACATTATTAGAATTTTTTAATTTTGATAATTTTAGTCTTACTATTTTTCTTTGCTTAATTCGTACTTGCATGAATTATTTTTGCAACTATATTCCTTTTTTTTATATACGAATATCTTGTTTTTAATCTGTTAAATTAGTTTGTGACTTATGTGAGCTAATTTAAGGAAATACAACTATATCACATATTAAATTTGATTAAAATCAGTACACTGACTATAATCTACTGAAAGAATCAAACATTTTTAAAGAGTTAAGATTTTTCTTCTATTTTGTTTTGGTAATAAGTAGTAGAGCTGAGCTCGGACTCACTTTAGATATTCCGAGCCCTACGAATAAAGGAAAAATTCTATGGTCTTGTTACTAATCCTTTGATGTCTAAGCACAAGGGAATTAGTAAATTAAAATCTATTTTCTCACTAATCTGTGAAAGAAAAAATGGAGGGAAAAACTGAACCAACTAAAACTCTAAGATGACTAAAGCAAAAATTAAAAAAGAAAAATCCAAATCTTTTTCTAAATATAAATCATTTGAGAATTAGCACTAGTCTCACAAAGCAAAAGCACCAAACAAGAGTAGCAAATTGCTGAAATTTATACCTCAAAAATTTACAATTTTAATACTCAAAAACTGAGTCAAATATTTGTTTAAAAAAAGTTAAAAAGTTTATGAAAGTTTTATCATGAGTCTGAGTCTGCACGAGCTCGAAATCTCTTTTCAGTAAATGAGACTGAAGTCGCTTCAGACCCGGGCTGTGGATGAGCCCGTTTCATCTCTACTAAGTAGCAGCATAGTTATTTATGCTATTATGCATAATTTGCTATTATGCATACTAACTATATATGCATAGTTATTTATGCATAATTTATGCTATTTTATTCATTATACAAATTTTTATATTAGGTAAGATCTGAGGGTAAGGACGTAATTTTAATTAAAGCTAAACATTTGTAATGAACAAGTTATTATAGATACATTCTATAGATTGTAATAAGCAAATATATTGTAATAAACAAATTACTGTTTTTAAAATCATTATGTTTTATCTTCTCTCCATAGAAAGAAATTGTTCAAGTACAATAATTAATGCGCAATTTAAGAAAAATAATATCAAGCACCTAACTTAAATTATTCTTTTATCATTTTGCGCTTCGTACAGTTGCATTTTGTTTTTATTCGGTATATGCAAAATTAGATTGTGAAACTAACTTTTTTTAATTCCTAGTAAGTTAGGAAAAACAAAGCTAATGCCACATTAGTTTCGTAACCGTCAACACATTTGAGGTAAGATAAAATACAAGGGCTGTTTTTTTAAGTAACGGCGGTTTGAAAATAAAAACCAAACGAAAGAAAATTTTCGTGGAGCAAATTTATTTTTTGATTCTACATATGTTTCTCTTTTTTTCAAAATAGTTGCCAAGTTTGCGTAAACACTTATCATGCCTTGCAACTAGATTTCGAATACCCTCTTCATAGCAACTAGCCGTTTGCTTTAATAACAAAGAGGTCACGACCATTTTCATGTTTTTATCATAATTGTACTGGTTGCCGCCAAAATGATGCTTGAAACATCGGAAATGATGAAAATCACTTAGCGCAAGGTCTGGGCTGTATTGAGGGATGATCCTAAGCTTCCCAGCCAAAATAGTCCAGTAAAGATCTGGACTGAGCTGTGGAGAAAGTCACTGTCATGGGGTAGTGAAATTTCCTGTCAGTATGCCAGGAGGAAGCTTCGTAAACCTCACAAATCTGCCATTAAATGTATGCAGCAGACAGGATTCTTGCCGTCTAAAAACGCATCATTGACCGTAACTCATACGCGGCTGGCGATTTGCTAAACTTGAACATTTTAAAGACACAGAACTAACCGTTCAGATCATCTACACAGCTGTAACTGAGCATAGTTGTTCCCAAGGAATGCCAGGACACCACGCAAGCAGTTGTTGCGACTCACACGTCACCTATCACCTATGACCTAATTGGAAGGCGAGCGTTCCATCTGCTTAGCTACCGTGGCTTATGTCATTCATAGGATTGAGAAAAAACATGCAAAACAGGCGATTTCCTTTAAAAGATTATTTTTTTTTAAAAATTTTAAAATATTAGACTACTTTAAAGCTCAGTAATTTTTTTTTCTTCAGAAAAATAGCATAATTCGTTTAGAATTAAACTCTTAAGATATGTATGGGTTATTCTCACAAAAAAAGCTTTGTCATGTCCCCCGTATAGTTTATACTTGTTTTATGACTCATGAATAATTTCTGGTATAGCACAAAAAAATAAAAATAAGATTAGTGTATTTCAATTACAGCTTAGTTTATGTAACAAAAATAAGTTTATAATAGTTAAAATAAGTTAACAAGTTAGTTTGTGGTTTTCTTTTTTGAGTATTTTTTTTTCAATGCCTACCTGGGAAATGACCTACGTCATACAGGCATCTGAAGGGCAGATTTGTTGGCTACTTTTTCAGGGGAGTCATTCTTTTTTGAGCATTGAAATATTAAATTCAGGAAATGAATTTTAAACTGAATTTCTGATTATTATCTAAGTAAATTAAACACTCGGTCATTCTCTCACAACCACGTATCATCATGTCCAAGTCAGCATGGAACTAAATAGTTTAATTCAAATTTTAATGATCTACAACTAGTAAGATAAGGGCTGTTGTGGCTCAGGTGACAAAGCGTTCGAAGCGTGTGAACCAGGTTCGAATGACAATGATGGCTGGTTGATACGAACTCTGCACTCATCTCGCACCGAACAGTGGATCATGAGGTACAATCCCCTTCCGTCGGGATAACCGTAAGAGGTTCTCGTGGTTTAATCTCCATGTAACGGAAATGCGGGTTAGTTAGTACAAGGATCTCTAAGAATTGTTTTCCTTTATGAATATATAAATATACAATCTCGTATAAGTATACGATTGATTTCAAAAGCATTATTTTAAAATATTTGTTATTCTCTCGCAAAAGCATCATTAGAGGGAATGAATCTAAAATAAGGTTCCCAATCACTTAAAATGTGTTTTTAATGATTCTAAAAATTAGAAAAAAATTAAAGTCGCAGAAACAATATCTATTACAAAAAAAGACAATATTTATTTTTAAAGCAATTTCATACGTTAAGTAACGCAAATAAACACTTTACCTTACATTTATTCAAATTATTATACTCATTTCTAATTTCTTCCAGTTTTTTTTTAAAAAGCGACTGCCGTAGATGGTAGCTTCTATATACTGAAAATAAAACCTTTATCTGAACATATCATGCAACATCAAATAGATTCGGTTCAAATTAAAATCAATAAAAACTGTAAGATATTTTCAAGTTTCTTTCCAAAATATTAAGTAACCAATTTTTATAATTTTTCTCTCTAATATCGATGGTTAAAAAATAAAGAACACCAAATTAAAACATGATGATAGACTAGAAAATGAAACAACTTTTTCAATCATGTTGCTTTTTGCGATGATTCCTTACATATTTATTCAAAAAGTTTGAAGAAATAATTATAAAATGCAAAGAAACATATTTCCGTTCCTTCAAGCAATCGATTTTTTTTCAAAAAAAATTATTAAACGAAATTTTTTCTTATCAAAGAGCATAAACTTAATAATCCACTTTTCGAAACCCAATCCCTTTTCAGAAATATTTCTGAGCGAAAACATAAAGAAAAGTTTTAATTTCAAACATAACAATAGATAAAATAAACAACATTTTAAAAAACTGATCTTGAAACTACTTTTACGAAACAATATGTTTTCACCCAATGAATTTCAATATATATATATGTATATATATATATACATATGCTACTGTGAATGACCAAAATTGGTAGTTGTTGACTTAAATCGGTGAATGTTGACAATTACATAGTAAATGATCGAAATATATACTAGGTCTAGTTAAGTGACACTGTCTGGTATNCGGAACTAATTATTTTAGCTATACAGAAAACTAAAAATATACTATTGCTGGTAAAGTATACTTATACAATAATTCTATTCGAGTTTAACTGCTTATTT